ATCTCTAAGGTTAAAACCACTCATTCCTGTAGTGATCCTCATCTCTGCCACACTTAACTTAGTATTATGCTTCTATTTTAATGGCCAACATTCGGCACCATAAAGCATTGCAGGACTCACTACCATCTTATAGAATTTTCCCTTAAGTTTGAGGGGTACATTTCTATCACATAACAAGCCTGATGCATTCCTCCACTTCAACCATCCAACTTGAATTCTGCTGATAATATCCTTATCTATTTCACCATCACTCTGAGCAATAGATCCAAGATATCTAAAACGTGCATGTACTCTTATTAATGACTTGATAACCCAAAGTCATAATCCCCTCACTAGGTCTATTACTGCTAAAATTACACTCCATATATTCCATTTTAGATCTACTCAAGCGAAAACCTTTAGACTCTAAGGTTGACATCCATAATTCAAGTTTACCTTCAACTCACTCTCTAGTCTTATCAACAAGAAGAATATCATCAGCAAAAAGCATACACCAAGGTACATCCTCTTGCAAATGTCTAGTGAGAACATCCATGACTAAAGCAAAAAGATATGGGCTTAAGGCTGATCCTTGATGTAACCCAACCGAAATAGGAAAATACTTGGTCAATCCACCTTGTGTTTGAACACAAGTAATAGCTCATGCATACATATCTTTAATGATATGAATATAAGCATTATTGACTCCTTTCTTTTCAAGAACTCTCCATAACACTTAACATGTAATTCTTTACACTAACAGAATTGGGTTGCATCCTAATCAGCTTAAAATTTATAGTCTTCAACCTATCTTTGCCTATATTTTTCATTTTGGTTATAAAACATCACTATAATTCCTCAAATGCTCAAAACTTTGATCATTCATTTTTTTTTTTTTTCTTAAGATTTATTTTAGTGTATTGGGTAAGGCTTTATGTGGGCCTACTGCTAAAGGAAATTGCTAACTGCCTTAATCGATTCTCCAAATTTATAATGGTAGCATCTTGTCTCTATAATTGGTTTCTTACATGAAGCACTAAATTCTCCATATGTATCTTTCAATGTTTAAATTGATTATTGTGATTCAAGCCCAAGTAATAAGAAGGTTTGGGATTCATTAAAGGTTGTTGAGGGTTATTCAAAGGTACTATAGGATTAGGTTGATTGGAATCCACTAATTTTCACCATTATTACTACTCCAACTAAAATTAGGATGGCACCTCCATCCTGGATAATAAGTATTTGTGTAGGGATTTTTAGGTCTTCCAATTACATTCACATTCTCAATCCCTTGAGCACTTGGCTCACCAATAAAATTAAATTCATTCTCTTCCAAATGTATATGTGATCCTAATATGGAGTTAACTCTAAAATTATCTAATTTCTTAGACATGGATGCTAGTTGAGCAGCCACAATTGATAAAGCATCTGGCTCATATCAACAAGCTACTCTCTTAGGATTCACTATAACAAATGGCCATTGGAAGTTATTTGTTACCATCTCCTCTAACAAGGCATAACCCTCATAATTCTATGCTTCACAAAATCTAGAATTTGGTTATTCCAACTAACTTTTGCATTTTCTCATGGAGAATTCTTAATGTTTTGATCCCTATGCATGATAAGCTTAAGAATAAAGAAATTTTCATTACTTAGAAATGTCAATGTTGTTACCATTAGGAGACTATTAAACATGTCTTTTTGGATGGGCCTATTGCCATCAATGTGTGGTATCTCTTGAATAATGCTATGGGGATTAATATAACCTATGATATTACTACTCATTCTACTCTCCTTGCTCACTAGTTCCATCATAGACCTACTGACCATATATTAACTATGTTTCTATGATAGTTCTTTTGACTTTTTTAGATTGAAAGAAAAAATTGTAAACATCTTGGTATCATCATGAGATCTAATAGAATCATAATAGCCCTTAATAATAAAAGTCATCAACTTGTATCCAAGCTGCTTCTTCCAAAACATTTTAAGAGCAATAAGATTTGGACCTCTTTTTTTCAAGTCTCTTTTGCATCTGATAGCAAGAACTTACACTCCAAAATTTTATATTAGATGCATGAAGCCTTCTTTGGCTCAATAAAAATTAAACATTGAAAAGTCTCTCTCTCTCTCTCCTTAGGGCTAAATGTGGTGGAATTTTTAGAGATTATCAAGGTGCTATGTTGGTTGGTCTTGCTTCTTGCCTTCCTGCTTGTAAGGTGATCGTTGTTGAGGCTTATGCTTTATTGATATGCCTTAAGTTTTCCTTAGACCATAACTTCAGTAAGATTTGGATTGAAATTTATTCCTTATTATTGGTTAATCTTAATAATAAAATAATTACAACAATGCAAATTTGTATTATTTTTTTCATGAAAATTATGTGCATTCTTAATCAGGTTGATTTTGTGATCTCTCATATTTTTAGAGAATGTAACATTTAAGCTGATTTACTTGTTAAAAATGGATTACTTTATCTTGCATTGAATTATTTTTAAGATTGAATAAGCTCCATGTTTGAAAGGGTATATATGGTTAGGTTTGACAAACTAGGCATGCCTTATATGAGGAAAAAATAGCCTTACCATCCATGAACTTGGGGTTCATTCGGCTATGGAAGTTTTTCCTAATCATGGTTCTTTTCTACTATTGTACTATCATTTCCTTTAGTATTTTTTATAAGGATTCTAGCTATTGCTAGTTTTCTTCATTTTGGCCTTTGGTTGATGCACAACCTGACTGGATTTTTCTTACTAGGCTAGTTCTTTTTGTTATTCTTTTTCCTAGCCGATTGGGTTGTTGGATGAATTTTTTTTCTTTAGGTTCTGTATTTTCAATTGTTCCCTCCCTTAGTTTCTATTTATTTTGTTATTTTAATTTGTATCAATCTTATGGGTGTTTATAATTGGTTTTTAATTTTTCATGTCTTGCACCTCTTTAGGATTTGCATTTGGTTGAATGTCTTTTTTGGCTTTTGATGCTTTTCGTTGGTTATTTGGTTTCTATGTCTTGCTAATTTTATTTTCACCTTGGGTAGTTGTTTGCTGATGGCTTCTTTCTTCTGGGTTGTATTATTAGCATTTTGTTTGCTGCTATTTCAAGTTTTTTCTTGTTGTTTCCTGTTGTTGTTCATTTTTCTCCCTTGTTGTTGGTCATTGTGCTTGGGGTATTATTGCTTGTGGGTTTCCTTTTCTTATTATGGTTTTGTCTCTCCTTGGGTTGTCTCCTAAGTATTCTCTTGTATGTTTCTACTTATTTATTTGTTCATATGTTTTGGCTGCTTCTCTATAGTTCTTATTTTCTCAGGTTTGGACATTTCTCTTGATCTTTCTCGCCTTCCAGGTACATGTACTCCTTTTTCTTTCTACTTTGGTTCTTAGTCTTGTAGGTGCGGTTTTTGGCTTTTAAGGTTTTGTCTTTGTTGTCACCCTGTTGCTACTCCAATTATAGTTTTTTTTTTTGTTCAGGCTCCCTAGCTATATTTTTTTCTTTTTTATATGCTATGTATCTAGTTAGGGATTGATGGCTCTATAGGTTTTATTTTCTTTATATTGTAGCTTTTTTAGCATCTAGCAAGCTATTGAACCCTTTAAGGATCTTGTTCACTTTTGTTGATGAAGTAAAATCCCTGCCCATAAAAGGGCTTTCTTTAAAAAAATAAAAAACTCCATCATTTATCTCTTTTATTACAATCTAAGCTAGCTAGCTGTTAAATAATATTACTTTCTCTACAACAATATCCTTTAAAATGTCATATGAAACCTCACTTCCAATGTAGCTATCATCATTGGTGTAAAGAAAGAAGGATAATGATTTCTTTCTCTATAACTTCATCATTGACTCTTTTAAGAGTCATATCACCAAAAAGACAAAAAAAAGTAGCATTCTTGTTTTCTAAAACATAAAAATTGCCTTCAAATCATGTTAAAGAGTTCCATATCCCAATCAAATTATTGATAAAAAATTCTTGAACAAAATTTTTATTCTATAATATGCTACTTAACTTCACAATTACAATTAAAAAAAAAACTTCACAATTACAATTACTAAAAGTGTGTGACATTGTTACTCATCCAATATTTGTTTTTGGACAAGAATCCGTAGTTGCTATAAGTAAAAACTAGATTGGTTTTCTCCAACAAAATTAGTAATAATTTTTAAGCCGTGTTTACCAACTAAATCAAATAACAAACCATAGTAATCTAATTGAAAAAAAAAAAAAAAAAAACTTTCCTCCGAGTGTTTTTATTGTATGATGCTTCAATTTTACCATGGTAATACATGCATTTAAACACTTGTCTTTTGTTGCTTCACAAAACCAGCAACAAAAGTTATTCTTCTTAGATTTACTGATCTCTCAACAAAAGCAAAAGCATGTTCCTTAATTATCTAACGCTTAGAAAAAGCCCATTTTTATAACTAATGGTACAAAGCTACAGCCATAGTGCACCAGCATCCCTAAGCAACTGAACAAGATTGCCACCAAGATGAAGTGACATCACCTTATCTGTAGTACCTATCAATCTTCCTCCAATAAATACCACTGGAACTGGAGGATTTCTTCCAGTAAGCTTTGCAAGTGCCATCTGCATCTCCCTTCCCTGCGGCTCCTCATCCAGCTCATGTAGATCAACATTAACGCCGAGGTCCACAAACAAACTCTTTACTGTGTGGCACATGCAGCATGAGCTTAAGCTGAAGATCACTACCGGCTTTTGGGAGACCAACCAGTTAACATTCTCCATTAGGACTCCTTCAACTTGCTACAAACACAATGTGACTGCTAAAACGAGAGAGAGAGAGAGAGAGAGAGAGAGATCCTTACTGGATGCATTGTTCGGGTAATGGCAATACTTATTTATATAGCATGGAAGGTTGCTTTCACATTCAGAATATTTAATTGCAGTACAAAGAACCAAGGATAATAGATATGACATGATGCATATAAATCTAACTTTGATGATTGCTGTGAAAGTAACAAGAGCCTCCTTATTTTAAAATGGAGAAGAAGAGTTGAACTTGGTTGACCTCTAGGTTCTTTAATTAGTTTAATAATCTGATAACTGTATATGAGATGCTTAGAATGTTTGCAATATTTGAGAACTATATAGCCCATGTGATGCATGCGTACAACGTATTATATAAAGAATGTTCATATCCTTTGGATGACAGAAGATAAGATTTGGATTCTTTTCTTTTCTATATTTTGGTTCGATGCAAAGTATTTTGTGACTTCGACAGTTTTCAATAGTGTTAACTAGCATTGGCTTCTATATTGCTTGGCCTACGTGATCTGATAAAGAATATTTAGATTTACTTATCTTCATTCATAAATCTCTAATGTCCGATCAGATACGACATTTTTTACTCAGTTCTATGGATCTGTTTAATAATAGTAGTTGTATGAATATGCAATCGGAAGGACCAAGACAAGCCATGGCCTTAGAAGCAACTTAACAATATCTGATTCCGAGAGAAAGCTCTGCAACACCCCTAATGAAAGTATGATTATCCATCAAGGGTAGCATTATCAAGCAAATGAGAGTTGCCAATTCCCCCACAACTACCTCTTTCCACTAACATTAGAGGATATTGGTGGTCCACCAAGAATTTCTTTACCACAATTTGGTGGAATTTTGTGATGTTGAGGGGCATCTATTTTTGCAATGTTAGTTTGGAAAGTTTATAGATTTTTTGGAAATCGATCTTGCAAACTTTGTCGACAAACATTACAAGTGATTGATTTCTCAAGAGAAAACTAAGTACAATACAAATTTTGTAGCCTAGTATTAATAGCATATGATAATCCATAGTTTGATCTATGATTTCTCTCAGCACGTTTGTAATCAATTTAATATTTAACTTTTTAAGCATTATAGTTGGCATCACCTTTTATACAAATAAATATTCTATAAAATTTTTGTCTACTGTTATCACCTAGGTGTTAAATTTATCTAGTTGACCTAGATGATCGACATTACCTTGGTTTATAGGATTTATGATGCAAGGTCTAGTGCGAGGCACCCAAATCAAGACCTAAAACTCTTTTTTATATATTTTTTATTTTGGTTAAAACCCTCTGTGGGGCCTACGCGTTAATACAAAAAAAAAACGGTTACAAAATCCTTAGAAGGATCCTCGAGCTAGCTATTGCTCATAAGAGCTACAAGAAAATGAAAAATAAAACCTAAGAGCCGGTGGTTCCTTTTTCTAAGATTACATAAAAGACATAAAAGAAACCTCGGGCTGCAAGTAGACAGCTCCCAAAAAAGGAAGAGCAGATTAATCCCTTTCAGCACATTCTTCCTACAAATAAATTGGTGAAGATTGAAAAGAAATAGAGAAATACAAACCAAAAAAGCCTTAGGATCATTGAAGCTCCGTGAAATTAAAGAGAACTTTTGCCTGCAAGGAGAGCTCAAGAATTAAAGACCAATTAGACAAGTGGTAAATGAAACAATAATTATACCCAATGATGTGATTCCAATTAGCATGCCTATTAGTAGGAGAAGATAATAACCCCATCCGACCCTTCATGGCCGAAAGAATATAAGTAATGCCCCAACCAGCCAAATAGATCATCTGAAGCACATTCTCCCTCATAAGCACAATAATATAGAACCTGTTACTCATATAAATACCATATATACTCATATTGGTCGTAACAGAACCCCCAAAACTAAGAGGGTGAAAAAGAGACAGATGCACGCGCCCCTCCACTACGGGAAAACACACGAATACCGTCGGATTTTCCGGCGGAAACTTTTGGACGGTAATAAACGGCGCAGTCACCGGCGGATTTGTTCGACGTAAGGTTTGCGTCAACTGTTCCGGCGCAACATACGTCGGAAATTCACCGACGCCTTGTCCGCCAGAAAAACCGACGGTATAGGGATGCCTGAAATTCATTAATTTTTTACTCTTATATATAGGTTATGGATATTAGAAATCAAAGAAGTTGGATGTATAACCGCCGGTAATAACGGGTTTTCCTGTAGTGCTCCAACACACATAAGCCAATAACAAGGCCAATCATCAACCTCTTCAAAGTCCAAAGAACCTGCATGATCTTAGCCAAAACACCAAACTAGAAAAACCAGAAGCAAACCATATACACATTAGGCGCTAAGAGAAACAGCCCAAAAATGCCAGAACAACAAAAAATAATAGAGTAATAGAGAAACAGCCAGCCCCTACATGATGAGAAACCCAGAAACAGCCACCGTCAACTCGACGAGAAGCCCAGACTACAAAAAACCTGTAGCAACCTCTCCAAATACCAACACCCATCATGCCACACAAACCTGGAGGCAACCACAGTTCCATTCCCCATCCAAAAACCACACCCAACAACCTCAAAACCATGAGAACACCCACCAGAATAAACCATAAGAACCACAGCACAAAATAAAACAGAATTCCAAAGATAAGCAGGAAACAGGAAGACGAACTGCCAAAGATAGCAAGACACTGACCAACAGGGAGAACACAAAAAAAGCAAAGCAGAGTACTCAAGCATGCTGCAGGTAATTAAGGAAGAGCACATTTGTCCAGTGTAATCAGGCCTCTAAGGAAAGGAGGCAGATTATTAACATTAAATTCCTGATACATATCACTATGAGAACCATGTTTGGCTAACCAATCCGCACACGCATTGCCTTCATCATAAATGTGGGAGATAGAGAAATTAAGATTAGACAGAGACATTCTAATTTTACTAATAGTGTAAAAATCATGAGGATTACTAGCATTACCATCCTTAATAATATGAATTAAAAGTTTAGCATCCACCTCAATCATCACATGCTCAAGACCAAGCCTCAAACAGATATTTAAGCCATGAGAAAGCCCTTAAAGCTCAGCAGAAATAACATAGCACAGGTTTAAAGGTCCAGAAAAAATAGCAATAGGAGTACAATTATAGATCCTAATGATACCACCCATCTCAGCATTAGTAGAACCAACAAAACCATCCGAATTAAGCTTAACATAAGGTAAAGACGGTCTAAGCCATCTCACAACACGATCACGCTTAATAAGAACAGCACCGTTATTATGAATGCCAAAATAATTAGCCAATTAAGTATAGTTTCTAAAGTTTTTTTCAGAAATAAGATTAAAAGAAGAAAGCTGAAGGATTTTATTCCTAACATTATCAATTATATGACTAGCATCCATCTTAATATCATTGTGCTTGGAGTCATCCCTGGCCTTCCAAAGATACCACAAGATCAAAATAGGGAGTAAATTAAGGATATAGCCTTTAGGTTTGGTAAACCACACTTTAAGAATATCAACAACATTGCAATTAGCATTCAACAACATAATATCGGCAAGGTTAGAGTAGTGAAACCAAACCTTTAGAGCAATCTCACCGTTGACAAAAACATGCTTGATATTTTCAATATTAAAAAAGCATTGGCATGTAGATGGAAAATTAAAACCTTTTCTCCACAAATTTTCGTCCACAGGAAGATAACCTTTAAGGCATCTCCAAGCAAGAATAGAGTAGGATAGAGGAATGGTGTTATGCCAAAGAGAAACAAAATTATGAGAAATAACATCTTTAATTCTAATAGCCTCCCAAACATTTTTAAAGCTAAAATTACCAGTGGATGAGAGATTAAAATGGATCTTGTCCTTGCTATGAAGTTGCAAAGGTATTTGCACAATCATGTTAACAATGTCAATAGGAACCACCTCCAAAAGTTTGCTAATGTTCCAATTACCATCTTGAATAAAATATTTAACTCTAATATTATCAATAGTATGGTTATTAAGAAAGCAATCAATAGAAAACATACCCAGCCAATTGTCTTTCCAGAAAGACACATCCCCTTTACCAAGCCCCCATTGAATGTACTGTTCTGCCTCCCATTTGATCTTACAAAGCCTTTTCCACACAAAGGAGTCGAAAGATTTATAGTGACACACCAAAGGATTACACATTTTGCAATATTTCGCATTCATAAACTGCGCCCATAAACTATCATTAGAATGAAAAGCAAACCATAATTTATGAGAAAAAGCATGAACAATGTCAAGAATATTCTTGCAACCCATACTCCCCTCCTTATAAATACCATAAATTTTCCTCCAACTAGTCCAATTGATGCAAGACTTGTTGTTTTTGGCACCCCAAAAAAACTTATTAATCATTCTTTCCAGCTTAATACAAACAGTGGAAGAAGGTTGCAAAGTATGAAAAATAAAAGTGGGAATAGAGCATAAAACCCTTTTAATAAGCACCAACCTACCACCAAAAGAAAGAAAACTAGAGGACCAGGTTGTAAGTTTCTTATGTAAGATAGAAAAGATATTTTAAAATAAAAACTTATTCTTTCTGCCTTTAAAGAGAGGGGTACCAAGATACTTAATAGGAAGAATAGTAGAGTTAAAACCACCCTCTTTTAATCTTGCTAATTATGTTACTATTCATAGAGTTACCAACAATGAAATTACTTTTGTCTCTTTTAACTTTTAAACCACTAATCTTTTCAAAACGGTTAAGGAATTGAATCAGAACTTTAACATTTTTAATAGAAGCATTAGAAAAGGTAATGAAATCATCAGCAAAACTAATATGAGTAATAGGAAAACCGCCAATAGTACGAAAGAGAAGGCTAGGAGACCTTAAGAAAAGATCCTCTAGCCCTCTAGATAGATATTCCATAGCAATAATGAATAGAGAGGGAGACAAGGGATCACCTTGCCTTAGGCCATGCTGAGAGTTAAAGAAACCATGATTACAACCATTAATAATAATAGAGAAAAAGAAATTTCCAATACTATTCTTAATAAGCATAATGAAAGACTGATTAAAGCCAAACAAAGATAACACTTTGTAAAGAAAATTTCAGTTCAGATTATCATAAGCATTAGTAATATCCAGTTTGAAAATAATATTACTACCAGAGCATTTGATGTTAATATCATGAACCATCTCTTGAGCTAAAAGGATATTATCGAAAATGCTCCTGCCTTTCACAAAATCAGTCTGTTTGGAAGATATGATTCTCGGCAAAAAAAAAAACATTAATCTAGAAGAAATGATTTTAGCTACAAGTTTATTA